GGTCCACTGTGTTTTATCAAGGGCAGGGTCAATGCAGCTAGCTATCAGGAGATTTTGGAGCACTTCCTGCTTCCATCTGCTGAAAAGCTTTATGGAGATGAAGATTTCATTTTTCAGCACGACCTGGCACCTGCTCACAGTGCCAAAACCACTGGTAAATGGTTCACTGACCATGGTATTACTGTGCTCAATTGGCCTGCCAACTCTCCTGACCTGAACCCCATAGAGAACCTGTGGGATATTGTGAAGAGAAAGTTGAGAGACGCAAGACCCAACACTCTGGATGAGCTTAAGGCCACTATCGAAGCATCCTGGGCCTCCATAACACCTCAGCAGTGCCACAGGCTGATTGCCTCCATGCCACGCCGCATTGAAGCAGTCATTCATGCAAAAGTATTCCCGACCAAGTATTGAGTGCATAACTGAACATGATTATTTGAAGGTTGGCGTTTTTTGTATTAAAAACACTTGTCTTTCATTGGTGGGATGAAATATGCTAATTTTTTGAGACAGGCATTTTGGGTTTTCATGAGCTGTATGCCATAATCATCAGTATAAAAACAATTAAAGACCTGAAATATTTCAGTTGGTGTGCAATGAATCTGAAATATATGAAAGTTTCATTTTTATCATTACATTATGGAAAATAATGACCTTTATCACAATATTCTAATTTTTTGAGAAGGACCTGTAGAAGCAACAAAATGTTTGTTGAAACAGTTCATGATCTCGTGCTTATTTGACACAGGAACAGAGTTAACGAGAAGTTGTGATGGGAGGTCAGATGATTGTGGGGTGCCTGAGAGAGATTTGATGGTTGTAAGGAGATGGTGTAAGGAGCTCTGTCATTCGTGGGGGGAGCTCGGTGTAGAGCTGCTGCTCCCTTGCATTGAAAGGAGTCAGTTGAGGTGATTCATCTGCTTGGGACGCCTCCCTTTAGAGAAGGGCTATTCAAGTGATAGCCCAGGGGCCAAATCAGGCCCAGGGATGAACTCAGTTCGGCCCACCAATGGATTCATTTTCAAATAAAACTAGATTTTAAACGGTAAAACAAACTTAATGACAATGACTGCTCGATGTCCAGCCCCCTAAGCTCTTGGCTTTCAGTAACTGTGGCCCCCTGAGCAGGTTAGATGAATGTCCCTGCTTTAGAGGTTTTCTGGGCACGACCTACTGGGAAGAAGCCCCCAGGGGCCAGAGCTCTCTGGAGTGATTGTGCATCTTCTCTGGCCTGGGAACGCCTCAGAGTCCCTCAGGAGGAGCTGGAGAGTGTCTCTGAGGAGGGGGAGGTCTGAACGCCTGGACTGGTTGCCTGTGTGACCCGACCACAGGGATAGAGATTATAAATGTTTGTCATCACAGTCAAAGTCAAATCTCGAACGTGTCAACAGATTGTCGTGCTACGTGGTTTCAAACTTTGAATGCTTTAAAAAAAAATCATTTTGTATTTTTTACTCAGATTACTGTTCTTCCTTGTTATTTAGCTGTATTTTTTTTCTTGATGCTGACAGATTATTTTATTTGTAAAATGATGTATTTTCATACATTTCTTTAGTGTCTAAAGTAACTTACCCCAGACTTGTCTAATCTTTTCCATAAACAGGGTAGAATATAAACATTGTTCTGACCAGGTCACCATGACACCTTACCTCAGAGAAATGATTTGGATGTCTCAGTTTGGATGAAGGCAGGCTTGATGTGGATCATCTGAGGTCTCACTGCTGAAGGAGAGTGCCCCCCAGTGATGAGCTGAAGGATGACACGTCTTTGTTGCACATCTATTCATTTTATAGTCCTTTCTTAATAGACATGAATTTATATCAAACATACAGCTGAATTTAAATCAAGTTTCTTTCCTGTCCAGGTCATAATACAAAGCTCATTAAAAATAATGTAAAATCTGTGAAAATAATCATAAACAGTAAACTGTGAAGCCCATACTGTCCCGCTGTGTAAGTAAGCAGCCTTTGTATCTGTGAAAATAAAACGGTTGCACGTTCTTGTAGGGTTTGATTTAATGAAGAATGATCTGCAGCCACTGAGAGAGCTCTTTCAGTACTGAGGGCTGCCTTTATGCATGTGTTACATTTAAATTGTATCCAGGGAGGGGAGTGGGACCTCGATGACTCTCAGCCAATTATTATTTATTAGTCAGACTTTAAAAGCTGTGAAACCACAAATTCAAATGAGACATTAAGGTTTTTAACTGGTCACACTAATAAAACTCATATCTGTAAAAACCATCTGCCTGCAAAAGATAAAGTGTAAAATATATATTTTTAATCTGATCCATCTTCACTGCTTTCTGTTTCATCCCACTGGAGGCGGGCCTTGACATTCAGATGTCATAAAAAGTATTTCAAGGAAATAAAAGTTTTAATGTGTGCTTCCAGAAAATCATGTCTCTAAGAACTGAAATGTTTTTTTGTTTTTCTTTCAGTGTTTTGCTGTGCGCTCTTTGGGTTGGGTAGAGATGGCTGAGGAGGACCTGGCTCCTGGAAAGAGCAGCGTTGCTGTCAACAATTGTATCCGACAGCTGTCCTACTGCAAAAATGACATCCGAGACACCGTTGGCATCTGGGGAGAGGTGAGAAAGGACAGGATCTGTTGTGTTCAGGGAGTTAAACCATAAACACGGCACTTTTGTTGACATTTGAAATCAAACAGGTTTTGGAGGAGAGTCATCCCTGTGCAGGGATAAATCTAAAAGATAAGCGAAAAGGAAAGTGAAACACAATAAAAGATGGCGGCGTGGTGAGACGAGGAAAATGGAGCAACATTAAAACGTCTTTTCCTCTCAGAGCTTTGGGTTTATCTAATGGGAACTGACAGAACACAGAGAGGAGACGGCTTCACCCCTCTTTCCTTCCCCCTTTTTAGCGTTTGATGATTTATTTAGAAGCCTGCCAAGCCAAGGAATACACACACATGCACTTAAAAACCAAATGTTTGCACAAGCCATAAGCAAAAGAACAAAAACCAGACCCATTAACTTATTTAGTACTTTACCCTCAAGCTGTTAAAAAAGAAAACAGTTTTTGTTGTAATATCTGTGTGTGTGTGTTTGTCTCAAGGGGAAGGACATGTACCTGGTGCTGGAGAATAATATGTTGAACCTGGTGGACCCCATGGACCGCAGCGTGCTTCATTCTCAACCCATTGCAAGTATCCGTGTGTGGGGCGTTGGCCGGGACAACGGCAGGTCAGTTGTACCGCTGACTGCAGGCTCTTCTCCTGCAGTCTCCAAAGGTTTTGATGTTCACAGTATTGTCGTTCATCTTTTTGTTTCTTACTGATAAAGTGAGGAGTGAGGGGAATGTAATTAAGAAGGTTAAGCAGACACATGGCGCAGTGACAGGAAGCAATGAAGGCAGGCGTTAACGACTGATTAAAGCAATAATATTTATTCATAGGAGTTTATGAAAAGAAAAGTAATTTGGAGTTTTCCTAACTTTCCCTGGCTGTCTGCCTTGTTCCCACCTCTGCTGAGCTCACTGCAGCAGGCTGCACTGAAGGTCAACGTGAGCCTTTGAATAATCGATGTGGCGCTACAGCTCGGTGACCTTTAGAGGGAGCTGTGCACCACTCATAGACTAAGAAACATCCTGTAGAGGTTATCGTGCACAGTGGGGCGATGTGGACCTGAATGGTTAGTAACTGCTGCACAACCTGAGCTCACACAAGTTGTAATAAATGAAAGGGAAACCAGCCAAGATCATCCTGTCAGCTGGAGTAACCGCAGGTTTGCTGCTCTTGTCTACAAATAGCAGGAGCGTTGAAGCTGGGGGAATAGCTTAGCTGCAGCAGAAGGCGGAGGGGATGACGGGGGGGGGGGGGGGGGACGGGGGGAGGAAGCTGTTAGAGAGGAGGCATGGTTAGTTCTGAAAGGGTGTGGAGCAGACAGGTTACAGAGAGCGAGCTGGCAGTGTCACCAGGAACTAAAGACGCTCCAGTTATCAGGAGTACCCTTTAGACAGGAGCGCTGACCACGGTGAGTACATTTAAAACCTTTGTTTGTTTTTGTTCTTTTGTTTAATTCAGAAAATAAAAAAATGCCTCGGGTGAGAAGGGGGGCCTCTCAGCAGGGAGATCAGTGTTCTCCCCCCTCGTAGCGTTTCATTAGAAGTGTGCATGTGATGTTAAACAGATGAAGTGAGAAGAAATGTTTAGTTTTCTTGTTGCTGTTCACCAAAAGACAAACAAGTTGTGGCTTGTTTAAATCTCTGCTGCTAGAAACGTTTGACGAGCCTTTTCATTTCTCTGCTTTAATTATCAATAATTTAATGTGAAGAAATGTGCAGCTGAACTTCCCTCCGCTGCCAGTTTTCATTCAGCTTCTTGGTTCCACTGAGCGAGTTGAGGACAGTGAGTGGTGCAGGGATTTTCCCCTCTGTTGCACACAAACACACTCCCGTCGCCGGCGTGTCGGCACACAAGCAGCCGTGAAACTTATCATCACCCCCAGATTAAAGACCCCCACAGCAGCCATGACATTTTCAGCACATCAGCTTGATAAGATTATACACAAAAAGAGATCTCACTCCCAGTTTCCCAGCATGCATCTTCATTCCATCCTTTATTTTTTTTTTTGACTTGTCTGCTTTCTTTTATTCCTTTTTTCTGTCCTTGTCTTGATGCTCTGCTTTACACGTTTATTCTGCTGTCAGAATGAACCGATTCAACATCCTCACTCAACCAGAGCCTTGTTTCTGTCTCTTAATGTTTGGAACGCACAGGTTTATTCTTTTAGTTTTTCATGTCGGCTCAAAGCTACGTTTGAGTTTTAAAACAACCTGCTGAGCTCTAAGCTCGATACCACCGCTACAGTTTCTGTGTTTCTGCTGAGCTGCTTTAGACGGTGCAGAGATGAGAATGTGTCACTAAGGTTTAATAATAAATGTGTGTGAGTGGGTCTCCTCGCAGCTCGTGTCCCTCTGCAGGGGCTCGGTATGATTTTCTCTACTAACTGTCCTCCTTTCCTCCCATGCTTCCTTGGACTCAGAGAGAGGTAAACGCATTCCTTCAGCTCATCAGCTCCCCTCCTGCAGCATCTCTCCATCGTCTCTGCCGTTTCTTATTCTTTCATTTCCTCTGCTCTTTGTTTTTCCCGTCTTCAAAAGCTGCTCTTAAAGCTCTGGATTATTGCGCTCACATGTAGGAAATGAATGTGACTTTTTGTGTGTCTGTGTTTGCTCCCACATGGAGAAACGGGAGCGTGGACCCTCGGACCTGTTGTTTTCTGTTCAGCAGCACATTGAAGCTTGAAGGAAGTTGTTGAGTTTGTTGTTTGTTGTTGTTTCCAGGCCAATTAAGTCATACCTGTGTGTGCTGCTCCGGTTTAATTTGATGCAGCAGTTTCTCTTCTTTAACTGTATTTTCTTCTGGTCTATTGTTTCATTTCTTCAGTTCATTTTTGTTTCTTCGGTTCAGATGAGTTTGTCGGCTCAGAAATGTTCTTTCCTGCTGTCATTCTATTCTTGCGTCATGCTGCTGGATTGATCTCTGGGGTCCACTGACTCGTGCGCATGTGTGCATGTGTGTCTTTCTCTCTAAGATATACCAATAAAATTAAACCTATACTGTACACCTAACCACATTTTAGCAGAACTAGTCAAATGTTCTCTTTAGCCCCCCCGTTTATTAGTGTTTATATTTATGTTTATATTTTTGTTTGTTTGTTTCAGGGATTTTGCCTATGTGGCCCGTGATAAAAACACCAGGATCCTGAAATGTCATGTTTTTCGCTGTGACACGCCAGCCAAAGCCATCGCCACGAGCCTGCATGAGATCTGCTCCCGGGTGAGTTGTCCAAGCCCGATGCTGTTTCAGACACAAGACCAACATTTTGTTCCACTTTCACAAGGAGACAAATTTTAAAATCTAATCCAGAAGTCAAACGTTTTTGTCAGTAATTTTTTTGATAAACACAAATTGTCACTCCTGAAATTAAATAAGAGGTTCAAACTTTATTTTCTCCCCTTCATAGTTGACAAATTTCAATGTAAACTCGGCACTACACCAATTAATTTATTAATTTATTGCCTCCCTTCACAAAGAGAAGAGGAGGAATTGGAAACGCCATCTGTTCACCCGTCCACATTGTGAGCTGGTTAACTTGAAAAATAAGCAACTTTTCCTAATTCTGTTTTGTGTTAGGCTGCTTCTAGGTGTAACAAAGGTTACTATCAAAAAGTGGGTTGCCACATCAAAATCCAAGATGTCCACCACATGTAAATATGTAAACTGACCACCCCGTCATTTGAGGAAACTATGCTTTCTAGTTTTTATATCGCTTAAAAGTATCGTCTCCTCACTCCTTTGGAGTAGTGCTGAGGAGTTTAGAGAAGGTAGTCATGTGATCGGAAGATCGATGGTTCAACTCCCGGTACCGACAACATCAAAATGTGGGTGAGAAAGGTGAAACACCCACACCTGCCTCCACCCTCATTTGTTCCACTCTGGGCCCTTGAGCAAGGCCCTTAACCCCCATCGCCTGCCCCTCCAGGTGTCCTAGATAGCAGCTCTCTGCTCCACACAGAGGGCTGTGGTAGCTCAGTGGTCTGTGGGAAGGACATTCGGCGTAAAAATAATAGCCAAGTCTTCATGCGACTTAGTTCGCTGTGGAGACCCCTGAAGAAGGGAACAGCCGAAAGAAGAAGAAGACGAAGGGAGGGAAAAAAGTAGTATTGTCTCCTCAAAGGATTGGGGTGGCCAAATATTAATCTATCTATGGTGATAAGACCACCACAGGCCACCCACTAGCTCCACCACTGCACCTGGTGGTGGATAAATTTGCTCCCTCCATTCACCAGGATCTGACACTCTGCGCTGCTTCGGACAAAAAACAAAACAAAAAACTACCTCTGTTTTTCTAAGACCGACATGGTGTAGCGATACGGCAACCAACTTGGGACCAGAAAGTCGCAGGTTCAACTCCCCGCCATGACCACATGCCATGGTGTCCTTGAGCAAGACAACTAATCCCTATTAGCTCCTTGGGTGCTTACATAGCTGCTCACTGCTCCACCTGGGTGTATCTCAGGAGTGATGGGTTAAATACAGAGAACTAATTTCAATGATGACAACACATAGCACGTCTAAACAGTGTAACTCCAAACCTTCACTGCTCAAATCCCTCAGCGGTGGGGGAACATCCGTGCACCGCTTGTTTCCAAATAAATCCTGACCGACTCTTCCTCTCAGCACGTAGCTGCAGAGGCTACGGGAGGGTTGGGAAAGCGGCTGTCTTCGTGGCTAAGTGACGTGCTTCTTGCGCTCGAAGCTCCCCTTCTGCTGCTGCAGACATCTTCAGTGCTAATTTCACCAGAAGACATCATGAGACAGTTTTGAACATGACAAGAAGTCTCATGACTGTTTAATCTTGCACGTCATCCTGATACACCTGATGAACGTGTGAAGGTTGCGCCACCTCCCCCTTCTCGTCCTTTAAAGACACTTGAGGCACGAGTCATTTTGTAAGCAAACACAAGGAAAGCTGCTGTAAAATTGAACAAGAAAAGCAGAAACAACCTTTGATTTCTGTTTTTACACGACCTTCTGTAGTCGTGGTGCCTGAGAAACAAAACAAACTATAATGAGCAGCTTCTCTTGTGTTTTGCCTCATTATATTTTCCATTGCTCAGTCTGGGCATCTTTTTTTATCTGAAGTCCTCAGTGTCCTTCTCCCAAACAGGGTTATCAGCCTTTTCTGCACCACATGCTCATTCTTACACCGACACAAAGGAATTTTAAACCAGTATTCAGACCGCAGAGTGTTTTTATTGTCTCAACAGGAAATTAATAGACTCTGTCCTTCCAATAAAGAAGCCAAGCACTAGAACTTTGATTTAGGCTTTGACGAGACCTTTAAATTGTTAAAGTCGCCCTTTATATAGCTGTATAATTTAGTGCTGATCTCAAATCTGAGTGGAGTCGAGGTTTGTACAGGTTTGCTCTTACTTGCAGCCAAACGTGCAGAACATTGAGTCAGATTTTCTTCACACTTGTTAAACAGAAATTTATAAATAAGAAGTGGAAAACTGTTAAGTGTGATTAATTAACACAAACTCTGATTAGGAGCTTGTACAACACTGTGTTTGTAAGCATGTGAGAAAGATAGGTGTGATAAATTTGTTTCAGTCACTTTTTGTCAGTGAGGGTTTTTTGCAGGCGGTGTTGAAATCCTCTCTTTCATTGTATGTGTATTGTTTATGTGTTAGTGTGAAACATTTAACTTGTGTGTGTAATGGGTGAACGGCATGATGAATCAGTGTTCAAGCATCTGCCTCCATCTTTTTTCATGTTGGCTTATTCACTGTTCTCCCCCTGTGTGTCCATGTTTCAAAAATACTATTCAGATAATGACGGAGCGAAAGAATGCCAAAGCCATGGCAGGAGGCTCTCTCCAGGACAGGATGCAGGCAGGACTAGATCTCCCTTTACAAGGTAGGCTTCATGCAGCACACATCAACCCACTCTGTGTGAACATGTGTGCAGTAGAGGTCCGTACCAAAAGGAATCTGAACATGTTTAATATATGTTTGTTATTATATTTGTGGCAATCTGAGGGTGCTCAACCTTGTGGTTCATCCAGTGTTGTTGCTTCAGAATGAAGGCAAACTACAAACCGAAGGACATGGGGAATTTAGTCAGTTTGATAATAAACTAATACAATCATTTTTAAAATATTTATGTTTATTACTTCATAAATAAGTCAGTTTGCAATCCTATTCATCAAAAATGCATTATGTGTGTGTCTGAGAAGTAGAGAATTCATTATTCTTCCCAGTAAAACATTTGCAAAAAAAATCAACATGATGCTATTAATACATATTCCTTTGAGCTTTAATTAAAACAGTAACACAAATCTGCAAAAATAAAACAAATGATGTTTACTTATTGGACTTTGGTGCCTAGGCATGAGTTGTCCATAACAAACATGTTTGAGCATAGGGTGGTTCATAAGTGTACTTGGTACATGGCCACCTTAAGCCAAAGGTCAGTGATTGATTTTTTAAAATCATTTCATCAAACTTATGTCTCGGGCACTCTGGTGAAAAGGGGCTGAACTGTCGACTGATCACCACCTGGTGGTGAGTTGAGTCTGGTGGCAGGATATGCTGCCGGACAGACCTGGTAAACCCTAATGCATAGTGAAGATGAATTGGGAACGTCTGGTAGAGCCTTTGGTCTGTGTGGCTTTCAACTCACACCTCCAGGAGAGTTTTTCACATATCTTAGGGGAGGTCAGGATATGGAATCTGAATGGGTACATGGCATCTATTGCAAGTGCAGCTTCCAGAAGCTGTAGCCTGAAGGTCATTGGTACCTGTCGGGGCGGCAACCAAAGAACCCACTTGTGGAGTGAACCCAGTGATGGAGGCCCTCGAGATGAAGGAGGCCATCAGGACTTGGCTGTTTCAGAGGATTCCTGAAGCAGCTGACAGGTACAGGGTGGCCAGAAGGACTGCAGTGTCAATGGTTGCAGATGCAAAAACTCGTGCATGGGAGGAATTTGTGGAGGCCATGTAGAAGTACTTTCAGTCGGTCTCTCGAAAGTTCTGGCAAACGGTACGGCAACTCAGGAAAGGAAAGCGGACCCTTTCCCAGGCTGTGCTTGGTTTGGTTGTGGAACTGCTGACCCAAACTGAGAATGGTCTTGAGCTGTGGAAGGAACACTTTAAGGATCTATTTAATCCACCCACCATATCTAACTTTCATCCACCCTTCATTTATCATTGAGCCACGAGAACTCATTTTCAAGAGAGACCTGTTTAGGGAGCAGATGGTGGAGGTTAAGGGCCTTGCTCAGGGGCCCAGAGTGAGGCGAATGAGGGCGGAGGGAGGTGTGGGTGTTTCACCTTTTCCGCCCACATTTTGATGTTGACGGTACCGGGAGGTGAACCTGCGACTTTCTGATCACAAGCCCATCTTCTAACCTGACTCGGAGGAAGGCGAGTCCATTACCGTGGCAAGGGTCACCAAGATAGTAAAAAAAAACTCCTTGGTGGCAGGGCGCCAGGAGTGGATGAAATTCGTCCAGAGATACTGAAGGCTTTGGATGTTGTGGAGTGTCGTGGTTGACACGCTTCTTCACTGAGGACTGGGACAATGCCTGTGGAGTGACAGACCAGGGTGGTGGTCCTTATTTTTAAAAGGGGGGATGGGATAGTGTGTTCCAACTATCATGGGATCACATTTCTTTCCTTCCCTTGTAAGGTTTACTCCAGGGTATTTGAAGGGAGACTTCGACCGATTGTCAAACCTCGAATTCAGGAGGAGCTACTGTATGTGGATTTTGTCCTGGTTGTTGGAACAGTAGACCAGGTCTTCACCCTTGCAGAGTTGATAAGGAGGTCATGGGAGTTTGCCTCTCCAGTCTACATGCATTTTTGTGAATCTGGAGAAGGCTATGACCGTGTTCCTCAACACATTTTGTGGGGGGTGCTGCATGAGTATGGTGTGCCTGGGTTGCTTTTAAGAGCTATCCAGTCCCTGTATAACCAAAGCAGGATCTGTGTCCACATTCTCGGCACAAAGTCAAGCTCGTTCTCAGTGTGGGTTGGACTCTGCCAGGGCTGTCCCTTGTCGCGATCCTGTTTAGATCCTGTCCATGAACACCATAAAGGTACAGTCGTGGAGATAAGGGTGTCAGATTTGGGAACCTCAGTGTCTCATCTCTGCTCTATGTGGATGAAGTGGTTCTGTTGGCGTTTTCAGGCCAAGACCTTCAGCGTGCACTGGGGCGGTTTGCAGCCGAGTGTGAAGTGACAGGAATGAGAGTCAGTTCCTCTAAGTCTGAGGCCATGGTTCTTGATCGAAAACAGGTGGAATGCCCCCTCTGAGTCATGGGGGAGACTTTCCCTCTGGTGGAGGAGTTCAGGTATTTGGGCATCTTGTTCACAAGTGATGGTAAAATGGATCAGGAGATGGATCAATGGATTGGAGCCTCATCTTCAGTAATTAGGGCATTGCTTCAGTCAGTTGTGGTGAAGAAAGAGCTGAGTCGTAAGAAAAGGCTCTTGATTTACTGGTCTGTGTACATTTCAACCCTCACCTATGGTCATGAGGTTTGGATCATGACCGAAAGAATGAGATCCCGGAACAAGCTGCCAAAATGGGCTTCCTTCGTAGGGTGGCTGAGCTCAGCCTTAAAGACCGGATGAAGAGCCCAGTCATCCGGAGGGAGCTCGGAGTAGAGCCGCTGCTCCACCACATTTAAAGGAGTCAGTTGAGGTGGTTCTGTCTTGTGATTAGGATGCCTCCCTTTGGAAGTTTTTCAGGCACATTCCACTGGTCAGAAGTTCCGAGGAAGACCCAGAAGTCACTGGAGAGATTGTGAATCTTCTCTGGCCTGGAAAGTTATACTGGGGAGAGGGATGTCTGGGTTTATCTCCTGGACCTGTTGCTTCCACAACCAATTATGGATAAGCGGAAGAAGATGGATATATAGATGATTTACGTTGTAACGTTCATTATCTCAGTTTTAATTAGAAACTGTGGGGGGAGATGTGTTCTCGTGTTTTCTCTCCTTTTAACTGACACTGTTGTCTGTAAAAGAAGCTAAATGACTGCTTTTGAGATAAAACTTAATTTAAAGACCCACGTGATGCACCAATGCTCAGGGTCTTGTGATGCTCCACCTAGGGCTGAGTACCGAACCGAGGTTCTTTTATGGCACCGACTGAACTGCACGGGTCTGAGTATCTGAGTATGTATTGAAACGTCACTCTTATTTCGGTGTCAAGTTTCGGTATTGGCTGTAACGTGTCACGTGGTTTCAGCATGCAGGCTGATAAAACACCAGACATATGACAAACAGACTACACCCAGATTACACCCAGAGCTGTATAGAGCTGCCGTACCTAATCTATGTATACTGTAATGTATGTCTATGGTGCTGGTGACGCCCACAGACGGGTTCACGTGTGCAGCGCGTGTTGTCGAACGGCTTCGACAAGACGGGTTCACGTGTGCAGCGCGTGTTGTCGAACGGCTTCGACAAGACTGGTTCACGTGTGCAGCGCGTGTTGTCGAACGGCTTCGACAAGAGGGTTCACGTGTGCAGCGCGTGTTGTCGAAGCTGTTCGACAACACGCGCTGCAGAAAGTTGCTCCGTGTTTTTCTGCGAGGAGAGAGGAGTTCAGCAGCCTCCCCCTCCTCCTCTCAGTGTTAAAGTCAGCCTGTGAGAGCCTGAACGTCCTGATTCATTATCTCCACGATCGGACTCTTCATCAAAGAACTCCGAGGACGGCTCTTGTGCCTGTGCTTCAGCTGGTGAGTTTACGTTTGTTAGCGTAACTGCGAGCTTAACACGTACATTGCGGTGAAATAAATTATGATCCATGTAATGCTAACTTTAAGATATTAGTGTGTAATTTTATTTTATCTATGTGGCTAGCTAAACTCAGAAGCTAACTAAAGATTGACAGTAACATAAATCTTAGCTTGTAAAGCTGCTCATCCATCCAGTCAGCTGCTTAAACAGTTCACCTAATGTTCACTGTTTATGTTAATGTTCTCCTCACAGGAGGTTCTGACCCTGATGTGAGGAGGACAAAAGAAAAGTGAGGTGGGGGCCACAGGACAGTCACAAACTTTGTTAAAAGTTTGCTGCTTTTTCTACAATGGAGCTGCACGGCGGAGGTAAGTAAACTGTAAAGGATTTTGTTGACCAGTTAAGCTTTTATCTCTCAGCCTAGATAATGTTTTTTGAGTAATAATAACACAACCATGTTATTGTTGATGTTTTGTGTTCTCATGCCATTTAGGGAGATGATCAGAGCCCTAAACCCCTGAGAACCACAGAGAAGATTCAGGCAGAGACACAGAGGTACAGATGTCTGCATCATCCCTACCTCAGTGAATCCAGTGACCTGCTGGTGGAATGTGAGGGACAATATGTCAGTGCTATCAAACTGACAACCAGGTATCTGTGTGTGCAACAATCATCATCTACAGCCTCAGAGTGAACATTTACTACTGCTGGAGACACCATCAGCCAGGAGCGGGCTTGTTTGTGTCCAGAGAAAACAGACATGTTGATGTTTCTGAAGAAAAACTGTTAAGTGAAAAGGTCCTCAGTGTGTAGCAGTGAATATTAGACACTGACGTGTCACTGGTTTGAAACTGGTCTTTTGACCTGGAAATTATTTGTTTGTTTTTATGTAAGAAAACTGCTTGGAATAGAAAAATACCAAAGTTAAAAAATAAAACTCACAATTTGTACTGTAATGTGTAACGTAATTTTATTCTTGTTAGAATTAATAGTAATTACAAAATTGGTACCAAAAAAAGAACCGTCCAGGAACCGACACCGAAGTGAAGGTACTGACACCGGTACCGATACCGATTTTTTTTTTTAGAAAGGTACCCAGCCCTAGCTCCACCAACCTGAGCCTAAATGAGTAAACGTAACAAATGTCCTAAAGTTGCGACACTGGAAGTGAAATTTGATGTGTTGACACCTCCAAAGTTTATGCAACACCAGAACTGTTTTCTTGAACTTATGTCAAAGTCGTGTTATAAGAAACTCTAGCCTTAAATCTTATTTTAAAAGCAAAGTGTTTTAATGACTTCTGTTGAAGAGCAGGAATGATGTGTTCATCTGCAGGTATGCAGTTGTGACGTTGAATTATAATCGATGCTATTTATTCTAATATTCAGGTGTGTAACAATGTAATTTAATGTAACAGTGTGACATAATGTTTGTTGTTACTGGCACGTGTTAAGTGTGTTAAATTCCTCTCGACAGAGTTTCCCACACCAAAGACGGAGCTGGTTCAGAAATTTCAGGTGCTCTACCTCGGTATGATGCCTGTGGCCAGACCAATGGGTCCGTATAACACCCACACATAAATATGATCACACAATATAGTTTTAAAATTTGTGATGAAGTTGATTTTATGTTTCTTTCTTTTAAACAACTCTCCCTGCAGGTATGGATATTCTGAATGGAGCTATCGACAGTCTGATCGGTTCTTCCAACAGAGAGGACTGGACTCCGGTGGCCCTGAATGTGGCAGATGCCACAGTGACCATCAGCAAAGATGAGGTCAGACAGAAGCCTGATGTTATTTATTTAAATATCTTAAGCACCGTACTTGCCGCCATACACATCGCACCGCTGTATAAGTCGCATCAGTCCAAATATGTCTTAAGAATGTGGAAAAAAACGTAAATATGTTGCTTTGCCATATACGTCATATCTATTATGCGTCACCGCTGACGTGTCGTGTTTGTTATGTGTTACCGTTGGCCACCCGGAAACGTGGGCCGGTGTTGTGCCAAAAATCAATTGGCTGCCAAATGGTGGCCGCGGGAGCTTGCAGGGGAGGACTTTAACAATAATTTAACAAGATTAACACTTAAAAACAATTATTTGTTTGCTCGAAATTATAGCAAAGGTGTGTCTCAATCTAATTTTTCTCTGAATAAATGCACTATATTGGTCAAATCAGCTGCATTTCAAAAATCGATTTGCGTAAGTGGGAGCATGCAGAGCGAGGACTCGCTGTGCATTTTGTCGAAACTGAACAATATAACACCTTAAAACAATTATTTGTTTGCTCAACATTATAGTAAAGTTGTGTCTCAGGTGAACTTTTCCTTAATAAATGCACTATATTGGTCAAATCAGCTGCATTTCGCCTGGGCTGATTTGACGTTTGCTCCAGGAGTTCCGGGGCGAGACGAAGGTGGCTTCTATGGCAAGCCAAGTGTCTCATTAATCGCCACTTTTACCTATTAATGGGACACTTGGCTTGCCATATTAGTCGAGGGCCCTCTAGTGACTAAAAATGGTAGTGTTCAATATTTTCCATGTCAGAATGAATGAAATTGTCAGATCTCAGCAATAATTGGGTTATAAATATGGGAAAAAAGGGTATATTAATCACTTTGGTGTATAAGTCGCAGGACGTGCAAATTGATGCAAAAAGGTGCGACTTATATGGCGAAACATACGGTACGTAAAATCAAATGTAAGCGCACATTTTTCATTTCTGTTTTAATGTACTTGCACCCCGCTTGTTTCTGACCAGGATGAGGAGGAAGTGCTTGTGGAGTGCCGTGTCCGTTTCCTGTCTTTCATGGGCGTCGGGCACAACGTGCACACGTTTGCATTCATTATGGACGCCGGCGCCCATCGCTTTGACTGTCACGTGTTCTGGTGCGAGCCCAACGCTGGGAGTGTGTCTGAGGCTGTTCAGGCAGCTTGTATGGTGAGTCGCAACTCTTCAAACAAACATGAGCTAAGAGACGAGCTGAACTACACAATTAACTGCCTAAATATGTGTTAGTCTTCTTGGTGTAATAGTTTTTAAAAATATTTTTATCTCTATGAGAACTGAATTAATAAAGAAAATAAAAAGACTAGATGAAAGTAATGCTCACTTGATGTAATTTTAATTCTTGAACGATTGGCAAATGTTGATCTTGTGTTGTAGCTCTTTTTATTACTATTACAGACAAATCTGATTAAAGTCAGTGGAGTGTAACACAAAAGTGATCAGTGTTTGTGTACAGTCACGCTAACTGAATAGTTATACAAATCTCCAACCTAAAATGAGCAGTAACTCCCCCCAAACAGACGAGCAGAGAGAAGTAGAGCTCTTCTATGTGAAACTAAATGTCCTTGGCTGTCATTTCTTGTGTTCAGTTTAACATTTAGTCTTGACAGAGGAGTGTTGTTCAGGTTGCAAGAGAGCCTCTTGTCAAAACAATCCAGTCATGGCAAACCCGCCCAGTGTTAGAGTTTAGACTAACTCATCTGCCTCAGTGTGCTTTGATGGTAACTCTTTGAGAATAACCTAAATATCAAGTCTCATTGATGCCATGAGTCAGTTTTTATGGCTGATGAAAAGTTTTTAAAGATGTGTATTAGTCTCTGTGAAAGTTGCAACTTTTGTACTGTCAATATTTACAACTTCCAATTCAAACAGTCTGTCCCATTTCAGCCATAATGCAGCCCATCAGTGGAGGTTTTGTATGTTTCTCTGCCCGTTGCGCACTAGATTAGTCAACTGCAGGCTGGGTTATTGATCCCACTTCTGAACTTTGGATATATGGTCCCACACACATGCACACACCTGCACTAAAACAGATTGACGGTGGCAGGAATCATCAGTCATTACTATTGATCGCAGCCAGCAGCGGTCAAGCTTCCTCCTCTCAGTGACACACACACACACTTCAGCAGTGGTGTGCTCAGCAGCTGTAAGTCTCCGTTATTTACTGTGCGTCTCTGTGCTCTGCCACCCCCACCCTCACCCTCCCCTACCTCTCAGCTGCGCTATCAGAAGTGTTTGGTGGCCAGACCGCCCTCCCAGAAGGCCTGCGGCTCATCGCCCCCCGGTGACTCGATGTCCCGCCGAGTCTCGACAAGCGTGAAGCGAGGCGTCCTGTCTCTCATCGACACGCTCAAACAGAAGAGACCCGTCACGGAGCTGCCGCAGTAACGGCGGGAAAACGGTACCAGCTTCTTGCCACAGCTCCCAGTCGCCATGGTAACTCATTGCATTGCTGCTGAAACCCGCCACCACAGAGTCCAGCAACTCCGGAAACGCCTCAAAGCCCCAGGGTTTGGAAAACCTGGTTTCATTCCCCCTTTGTTTTGGGAACAAATAGGAAGTCCACCTTAAGAGTTTTCCAGCTGTTGAGCAACAATTCAAGTCCGTTTCCTCAAAGTAACCGAGTAGACACGAATAAAGTGTGGTCAGCCATGAGGGACGCCTGAATGAGGTTCGTGTATATAGAAATAGTCATCCCGCTCATCGCAGTGAGGAGAGGAGAAACTGGACGAGCCCAGCAGCTGTGATGACCGTCACTGCTAACCCGAACGCTCATCTCCTCACGCTCCGTGTGTTCGTCTGCCAGCATGTCCCCCCACAACACAGCCCGACGTTCACTTCCTGTTAGTCTGTAGTGGCTTTCCCCCTCTGACTCCCCATGTTGTCTTTAGTCCGCTGTTACTTTGAAACAAAGAAAAAAGAAGGATCAACAAAAGCCATTTTATGTTGTTTTTTTTATTCACCAGCAACTAAAGAGTAAAAGAACAAAGGAAGCTGCTACAGACTCTAGAGCTTTGTCAGCCCACACCTCCTAACCTGTTCAACAGATCAAGCATGACCTTCTTCTCTAAATGTGAACCACTCTACAGTATCAATATATAGCACTGCTGCTTTCACAGACTGAAGGAGAGGAAACTCTGAAGGTTTATTCAAGCTCTCTGTGCGTTTCGTCAGCCGTGGAACGAGTGGTGACCTTTCACCTGAAGCATCCTTCATATCTTTCCTGTTTACCACTCGTCTTTTATTTTGTTGTCATCCCTCAAAAAGTGACAGACTATAGCCATAACAGAGGAGGAGACACGAGGATGGTCAGTTTTATTTTTCCTCTGGTAACCAGCCGTGGTTTCATACACATGCCAGAAGAGAATTTGAGCTTATCCTTTAATCCACCTCACCATCGGTCGTCTAAGACTTTGTGTCCACTAATTAAAAAAGAAGGAAGACAAAGATAATGTGAGGATGGTGGTTTTGTATCAAGTATTTCTGTTTTTCCGTCTAAAAGTTTGGAAAAAAGGAAGCGATTATCGTCAGCCTCAACAAGCTGCCATTTGTCCTGAAGGGTTTATTCCACTTCAGTTTGCTTTCTTTCTTTGCATTCTTCATTTAAAAGATGGTTCACATCTTTGATGTGGGGTTCTGTGAAAAGGTTATTATCTTACCTGTAGTAGATGGCACTTCAAGCGTCCTCCGTTTGGAGAAACAAGAGTCAAGATCCTAGAAGATGGCTGTCATTCTAAAACCATTCATTCATTCGCTGTTACGCCTCTGTCGGTTTTACATTTCACAGTTATTCTGTCAGAAATGATCAAGAGGATCATTTGAATGTTCTTTTGTCGTGATGCTGGAGATTTTAAAGGCTGGTAGACTTGTTCCAGCTCTTATACAGCCGTATGGACCGGTACGGTCAGAACGTACAGGTGGTTCTGTCCCTTCCTGTGGAGTGTCTCCGTGTTCACAGACCAGTCCAGTTTGTTGTTAGGCTAATCCAGACATTTCTCTAGTCCTGAGCACCACATCACCTTGATGTATGTGAGCTTTGATCATTTGAAAGTCCAAACCAACTTCTTGGTCTTGGAGCATCAGCTGCTGATGGTCTGTCCTCCACCTCACAGTGTCTTCGTCCACTCCCCTTTGTCCATTCCTGACACAACCAACTATTATGGTATTATCTGAGTACTTTAACTCATGGCGATGCTGACCTCAGTGCCCGAGGCTTCAGTTTGATGTACTGTGGTCTCTCTGAGGTAGTCTACCATCCACCTTACCAGGTGTAGCTTGTCTCTCATAGGGTGTGGCTGGAGGAATCAAAGAACATGATTCTCAAAGCACCACTCCTTGTGTCCGGATGAGTTCGTTCTGCACAGCAGGTGGAGGACGACTAGCCGTTAACTTGTCATTACAGTCAGAACTAAACAGTTTCTCCAAGCTGAGGTCATTCAAGGAGCCATCTATAGCAGGTAAGATATTAACTGTTCAGTAGATGTCCAGAGAAACCCACTTCACAGGATCTGAACCGTCTCAAGTTTGTTTCGTTAAGGTTAGGTGTATGATGATGATGATGTTTTCAACCCTTCGTTTCAACTAAAGCCTCGAACACATAGGTCATGGGTGCAGATTAACGCTAAACATATAGAACTTTGTTTGTTAAGCCCCGCCTCCAGACGGTCACTGTCCAATCACAGCCTGTCGATCATTACGACCACTCAAGGTTGACTCGAGTGTTAGAAGTCTAGCTGAAGGCTAATATTTTAACTGATATGAATCATCGTTTAGTTGTTTTAAAATGATTTTACCGTGCAGATTTTAATATGTCAAACATGCTATAAGATCAAATACAAGTAGTCAAATGGTCTGTACAAAGCATGTTAAGTGTAATCTTATGGAAGTTTAAGGTACTGTTATCAGTTTGTCTTATTAATTTACATGCATATGGAAGCACATTTATTGCCAACAGCAAATGTTGAAAGTATAATATTAATGTCTTGCTTATGGCTCAAAAGTGCATAAAACAACAAAAGTATTTTTTTCTTTGGGGTATCATCTCTAGAAACTTAGCTTCTCTTTCAGCATTAAAATGTGCATGTTGCCATGATGGCTACCTTAAATCTAGTTTAAAAATTTAAATAAATAAAAAATTGCACTCTTTGAGGTTCTTTTCTGATTTTTGTGGCTGTCAGGCACATTAAACATTTGTTGTTTAAATTATAAACAAAAGGTTGCTTTGCTTTTTATCTGTGGAACAAAATTGAATGATTTGTCTAAGTTTTTCTGTACATTTTAAAAGATAAATCAATCTTTGCCACACAAACATCTGCGTCAACGAAAGGGGGCGGAGCTTAGCAAACTCCTACAGTTCTTTAGACTTATGAACAAGAGAAACCTGAAAAATGTTGCCTTTTTTAACAGGTTACATGCAAAAGTTTCACGTTTTTTGAAGCATTGTCTTTTAAAATGACATATTTACAGCAGTGGAAAATTACAAAAGTGTTCTTATGTGGAGAATTTTAGTGAACCTTTGAACTCAGAACTGATCTTGACGATGATTTTCGATTGATAATGTAATTAATATTAATTTGTTTGCTTGTTCAAACATACAAATCCACATTTTCCACGAGGAGTACCAACATGACTGTAGTTTGAGCTCAGAAGGGAGTGTCGGTGTAAAAGTACTTAAAACATCGGTTTGTACATAAAACCCATTTATTGTAACAGGATCTTGGTGTTATAAGCTATCATTTTATTTCTGAATGTCTTCATGTTTATCCTGTTTTCTTGTTATGAAATGCCTTTTTTTGAAAACGTACCAAATGGCCAAAGTGTAAAATACATCTATAAATTGTAGATGGAAGAAAACCACAAGAGCAAATCTTAACAACAGCTGAGGCGATTGAAGATGTTCACACGTGTCTCTTATGTTGATGCTGAATTTAACTGCGATTATCTATGCATATTTTTTTTTGAATCCAGAGAAAAGGAAAAGTCACAAAAAGCCTTGCATGCCTTCAGCTTGTGCAGAGAAAGAGACTGTATGTATTGAACAGAAATATTTTTTATTTTATTTATTCTATTTTATAAAGTATAGACTGATTTTATTATTTGGGGCAAGTCAAGTGTCTTGATGCTGTCATTGTTTTCACACATACACAACAAACACTCCGTTTAGGTTGGATGGACGTGTCTGCTTCCGTTTGCTGCTCACTGATTTGTACACTTTATCATTGTAACCAGATGTGAGAATAAACGGTTTAAAACGCCACCTGGACTCAGTGTGTGTGCAAACTCAGGTTTATGATGTTTCTATTTATTTTTTATTCGATCTGGTTCTGGGAAGATTTGGGTTTGAGAACTCCTAAAATGAACTATTAGTTGTTTGATTGTCCACTTGTTTAAATAATTGTAACCATTATATTTATCAGTGTGGTAGAGTTAGTACCTCTCATTCTCAGAAAGAATGATCAGCTCACATATTAAATTGGCCAATTCTTACTTTTTTGTACAGATATATATTATGTGGCAGATATATTTTGCTACTGTCTCTGTTCATATGCAAACTTTCTCTTGTCCCGCCGGTGACTTTTGATCTGCTCAAGATAATTTAATCAAGCTTCATACACATGGAATTGAATTGAATTTGCATAATAACATTTTCATCACCCCATCACCAAGGTCACAAACCAAGGTCAAAAGTTAAACAAGGTCTTCGCTTGTCTGGACCATTGCTACAGATTGTTGTGTAAGTTTGTCGACGGGCGTATAATAGGATGTGTGCGGTACTCTTGTTTTTTCAGATAGTAGCACTGAACACACTTACACACTAAAGCTAGTAGCTCTTGGGCAAAGAACTTCACATCTCAAAACTGGAAGAAAACAAAACTAAATTTTCAAAACGTAAGCAACAAGATTGTGAGCCTTTCTGACACGTAAGGAAATGAGCGCCATTCTTTTTGTCAACGAGTCACCAACGGTCAAACGTTGATCTGCTACCATGAGACAATTTAAAATCAGGCACATTTGTGAACACCACAGTGTTGCATATTCTTACGCTATATTTGCTTTTATTAATATTTAGGTCCCTCGTGTTTAAAAAAATCCTTTCAGTGTTGAGAATTAAATTTAATGGCATTAGGTTTTTTTTATAAGAAAGTGTTTGTTTTATTAATCTGGGAGTCATTTTGTCAATCTGAGTTGTTTTTTCTGCATGTGTTTATGGCTCAATCTGTAAACACGTTTAACACTTACAACCCCTTATCACCTCATTCTCACCTCCGTGCTTCACTGTCTGGACTATGTGTCACCTGTGGGAGTAGGTTCACTGTAAGCAGTCTGAACCATATTAGAAATTCAATTAATTTTATTTCTTGGATTTATCAATAAAAAATCAAACCTATGCATTCACACTGCCTGGCCAAGACAAAAAAAAGTTGCCTCCAAAATAAAAGGTTGCAATAATATTTCATTGGGCCGCCTTTAGCTTTGATCATGGCATGCATTTGCTGAGACATAAAGTGTACAGATAAAAATTAAAGGACTTGAAAAATATAAATTAACATTTGGGAATAAGTTCTAAGAACTACGCTGGATTAAAAGTTGCATTTTCTTTCAGAAAATTCAATTCAA